TAATGTGTGCCATCTTAATTTTATGTTTCTAGTTTTTGAATTAAAATATCATGTGTTAAATGTCTTACAGTAGTCTAAGTATATTCCATCTACACTCTTACCTTTATCAACCAAACTAGTAATCTAATCAAAAACAGATATCAAGTTAGTTTGACAGGATCTATTTTCCATAAACTCATGCTGATTGGCCTTAATTACATTACCCTTCTTTAATTCTTTGTCAATCGAGTCCCATATCAGCTGCTCCATTATGTTGCCCAGGATCCATGTCTCTTGAGTGAGTGCCACCCATCTCTTTCACATGTACAGTTCCTAATTTCAGGAGAGGATCAAGAATAAGGAAAATATATTTACTGCATTTAGACTTTGGAGAAATTTAGTCATTAAGATTTTAATCTAATTTATAGCATGGGAAATGCAGTCATGTACCTAATCAACCAGACCTATTTCCCCCCATGCTCTCCCTCCAGCCACACATACACAGCCATAAAGAAAACACAGCAAGACACACCAGTTTGCATGCTTCCATCCATATTTTTGCTGGAGCATGAATTTATTATCAGGAATATATTACACTCATCTGTACATCATAACAGAAATAATACAAACTTTTCCTGTAATTCATTAACCACGTATTAAATCAGACTACAGAACTCCTACTGCGTGGGAAAAACTTTACAGAAGGATCCCCAGTGTGTCCATGGGACACAAATGCAATCAGTGCAGAGACATAAAATACCTGATTTTGTTAGTTTGTTTTTCTCGCCAAAAAATGAACGTAACCATTAGGTACCTGCTGATTTATCGTAAGCAAATTATTTCAGTGAAATGCAGGAACTTAACTACTGATCTGATTTATGTAAATTTCTTAGTTGCAAGAATTCAAACACTGCTCATGTCCCACAGACAGATGTGAAGAAAAAAAGAGACAAGAAAGAATTTGTTGCTCTCTGACTCTTTTTCATCATTTGCCTCTAATAGCTGGTGTACACTAAAGCTGTCAGTCGACCTAAGTTATGCGACTTCAGTTAAGTAATTGAAGTTGACGGAACTTACGTAGACTGACAGCAGTGTCTACACAGTTCTGTGTCAATGGGAGATGCTCGCCCGCCGACTAACCTTCCGCCTCTTGGGGAGGTGGAGTACAGACATCAATGGGAGAGTGCTCTGCCATCGACTTAGCTTGTCTTCACCTGACCCGCTAAATCGCTTGCAGCAGTGCTGATTTAGCCAGAAGTGTAGACAAGCCCTAAGTAAGGCTGCCCACCAGCTGGCTGTGGTCTCAAGGAGGCCCTGCTTCATATGCTCATTCTTTCTGAGGAAGACACTTGTTGGGTGGGAGGAATTTGAAGGTGGTTGGGGGCGGATGGGCTCTTTAAAAACTCTCTCCAGAGACCATCCTTGGGGCAGAGGCCATGGTTTAATTTGTGTTTGTACAGCAACTGCAATGGAGCCTTCAGTCTGATAGGGTCCTTTGGGTGCTGCTGCAGTAGAGATAATACATATGCTTAAGGCCAGGCCCCCAAATAAGCTTGCGGTTGTATTTTTATAGAGCAACTGTGACATCCAATGGTCCCCAGGAGTAATTATTCCCTATGTATATGTCACCTGCACTCTTTTGCTATCTAAAAGGTAATAGCAATAATCAAGTATCATTGACCTGCCTGGCTGAGTCATCTCTGTAAGGGAAAGGGAGTGGAAGAATAATCACATAACGTGTGCTACCTACAGGCCCTGGGCCACCAACGTTACACACACACACCCTCCCCCCGCCCTACCCATTGCTGAGCCCAACACTGATCATTTCACCTGCTCAATACTTACAAACTAAATGAAAACTAAAGTCGAATGCTATTCATAAACCAGTCACGAACTTGGTGCTCAAGTGATGTGCCATGAATGGGAGCAATCCGACTACTCTTGCCAACTTCCCCTTGCTATGTCCTAGAAACGGACTGAACCAAAACCTGACTTCTGACCACCCTCTTCCCCCCCCCCAGCAACATTTGGACAGAACCTCATTTCAGATGCTAGCCCTGTGCCTTAGTTGTATTAATGAAAGCAGGACCTAGTGACCTATAGAAGTGAAGGTAATTCTGCTTTAGCTACTGAACAGTTTGAGTTTGCAGTGGAGGTGGAGGAAAAGAGGGATTTATTGTATCCTTCCACAGCTAAAGGCATTTCCATTATAAAATGTGGTTTTACAGAGGTTTACAGCACAGCCATAATTATGTGCATTGAATTACAAACTTAGGCCAAAATGTTCAAACCTGGATGCCTAAAGTTAGTAAAACCCACACTTAAGCATGTAAGTTAAACTAGCCTGATTAGGAGAATTGTTGAGCATCCACAAAGCCCACTGAAGCTCAGGCATGTATTCTGGTTCCTTTATTGTAAAATTGTTATTTCACTTTCTATTGGATGGCTTCCAATATAACAATAAAGTCACTTTTAGTAGCTAAATAGCTGTCTTTGTGGACATTTGCTGTGGAGGAAAAGTATACACTCTGTAGCCCTTTGAGAGATGCAGAAACTCTAATGATTAGTGGGTACAGGGCTGGCTAAATCAAAGAGTGGTTTGGCAGCCTTTGTATTCTCACAGTGTGGGTTAATGAGGAGACCAAGCGGAGGAATTGATAGGGTTCCTCCATAATTAAGTCTCAGTAGCACTTGCCTTGTAAAAGATAGTCCCTCTCCCCACAATCCTTATTCAGCCTTCACTAGCCGGTAGGGTTTATTTGTAAGTGGATCATTTACTGTTCTGGTATTGAGGCACAATGCATGAACAGCCCCATGCTAACCAACATTAAGAGCATGTGCTGACAGGGTGAGAACTCCAGCTACAATCACAATGCTTTGCTAGCCTGCTGCTGTTTTGGTATAATATAAGGACATTTGTTTTGACAGTGAATCCCTACATTGTTACGGTCTAGGACATACGATGCACCATAGTTATGTGCTTGAAAATCCTGCTATTTACATTGGCTGCAAAACATAGATAAATTCAGCCAAAAAACTGTAATCCTCCCCAAGTGTCTTCCGCAGGCCTGCACTCATGCCATCAGGAAATGCTACTGTAACAGGGTGAGATTCATCTCTCCTGGATTCAGAGTAGCAGCCGTGTTAGTCTGTATCCGCAAAAAGAAAAGGAGGACTTGTGGCACCTTAGAGACTAACGAATTTATTTGAGCATAAGCTTTCGTGAGCTACAGCTCTCTTCATCGGATGCCTGTGTTGTGGAGTTAGAGGCGATGCATCTTACCAACCCAGCCCACAGGCAACCTGGGGATCTGTAGCAGTGCCCCATTGTGGTTGCTATTTAAACCCAAGGGCTAAAATAGGGTTGTTAGAGTCACTGAATCCATGGAGTCACAGATCTCTGGGCACCCACAGTTTCAGTGTGCATAAAGAACTCCTGTACAGCAGGACTGTCCTTGGCCCCTCTTCACCCAGTAGCTCTTCCATGGGTCTTACATGAGTTTACAGGGCTCTGAGCAAATTTCCCCCCTAACATATTTGCTCTTTTCTTGTGGCTTGGTATAGAGGATAGGCCCCCACTGACTTTTCCTCTGAATAGATAGTGATGAGTTACCAAAATCCTGCTGCTTCTGCTTTTTAAAACCCTATCTAGAGCGCAGTACAGTTCCTGTCATTTCAGCCAACACCCTAACGATGGTAGATGAAAGATCAGCCAAGTCAGCCACAAATGTGTTGCTGCCTGAAGTCCAGCCAGTAAACAAACCCAGGTCCTGAAAACAAAATCTTTCTCTCAACCTACAGACCTGGGTACTAGCTTCCTAGTGCACCTGTGACTCCCAGTGAAATTTTAGTGGGAATTCTGTTGCACAAGGAAAACAGGTTTGGCTCTTACTGCATTCACTTCAATGCCATTCTTGCACCAGACAGTTACATCTCCCTGACCAACCACTTCATGCCAGCAGATGTTAGTGTTTGTAAGTGGAAGTGTGGGCAGGGAAAGAGGAGGGGGGATGGGTGCTAGGTTAGGAAACAAGATTATATGACAGAGGGGCAGTGCTCTCCACTGCCATTTAAAAAAGCTTGGTTTATGGATTATACTGGAGGGTGATATGCTTACCACTTGTCAGGGAAAGGCTCACTAGTGGTAATACTGCTGCTGAGGGCTGGTCTATACTACACAGTTAAGTCGACATAAGGCAGCTTACGTCAACCTAATTATGTCAGTGTCTACACTACAGCCTTCCTCCCACTGCTGTAAGTGCCCTACTACACCAACATCATAACTCCACCCCCATGAGAGGCGAAAGGCTTATGTTGGTGTAATTAGGGTGACAGACACTGCGTCCCTTACATCTACTGTTGGCTGTCTTGTCAATTTCATGGCAGGAGCCCTGAAATTGACAAGAAAGCTGGGCAGCTAGAGCTCAGCTGTGTCACTCTGCTGGGTGGCTGGACCCCGCCCCTGACTTAGAGCCTGGGCTAGAAGCTGGAGTGTGTGGGGGGGAGGGCTTCAGACCCTGGTCCCAGCCAGCAGCCAGGGTGAGAAGCCCCAGCGGGCCCCCTCCCCACCAGCTCCCTGCCAGGAGTTGGGCAGGCTTGTCAATTTCATAGCTGAGCTGTGAAATTGACAAGGCTTCCCAGCTCTGGCAGGGGGGAGAGGGGAAGCCCCAGGCAGCTCCCCTCTCCTGTAGGGAACCGGGAAGAGAAATCCCAGGTGGCTTCCCCCTACAGGGAATGGGGAAGAGAAACCCCGGACAACCAACTGCAGTCACATGAATAGAAGCATCAGCATCCAGTGTCAAACACCATCAGAAAATGACTATTATAAGACAGGGAGAATAGAAACGACACCAAATGATGTTGGGGTCGCTGGCATCCCAATCTACCCACCACTAAAGCCCCAACTCCCAATTCATTGCTAGGAGCATCCATTGCATGTGCATTTAGCTGATAAAAGGATGAGTAAAGCACCGTAAACAGAGAAATGAGGAAGCAAAACAGACTGGCTTAGTCAGCTCAGATCAGGACAGTAAAACGTTTTAGTGAGTAGCACATGGGATAATTTAGATTAACATCATGGTAACAACTCATACTGTAATAGAACACATTGCATTAGACTGGAACATAACAATGAAGTAGGTATTGCAGAGTACCTGTGCATTGAGCAAGTGCAGTATGAAAGTGACTAAAATTATAGTGATAGTGGTTTTTATTCTTTAACAACTCTCCTACTTTCAGGGTGTACTTGCTGAACACATACAATCTAGTCATGTATTTCAATGGTGTTAGTCAAATATGGCCTGGTCTAGTCTAATAAGATGTTCAACATACTCAGTATCATAATATCATGCAAACCTGCTACAAAAATAAATTTCTCTAAAAAAAAAAAAAATTAACCTAATTTTTACACCTTGGGGTGGGCCAAAGACACTTAAATTGAAGCTGGCTGTACCTAAGCTGCAGCCTGAGCATTCTGAATACATCACAGGAAAGCTGAAGCATATTTCAAGTGCAAACAATGCGCATGTTTGCTGGAGTAAATGCCTTCCTGCCTGCTTCCATGCACATCATTAGCTGTTTACCCACCTTGTGACAACAACTCTTTCACATTGCTTCATGACCCTGGAATATTTTATGTACGTATTTACATCCTGGCTGTAACTTGGTCAGGTCCTGGAGCACACAGTGTGCTCTGTGAATAGGCAGGAAAAAGTGCAGGGTCTTTGCGACAAACTGAAAATAAAAGCATCATATCATTTAAAAAATTGTTTTTGCTTTTGTGTGGGTGACTCACACGCCTACCCTGCCTACATCAAATGCTTTCACAGTCTAATCCAAACAATTCTGATACAAATGCTGGGACCCACATTTAGAGAACATCAAAGACAACAGGACCTCGCCTGGCTTTGTGCAGTTCCCTTCCTGTACCCAGGATCCAGATCAAATACTGTTAACCCCTTCTCATTCTAACTGCTGTTTGAGGTGCTGTACCCCTGGGAAACCAGCGTGTTCACTCAGCATGGTGTGACATTCCATCTGGTCTAGACAGGCACTGCACTGAAAGTTACCGCTGCAACACATGCATGGTTAACAGGTGCAGCAAAGGGGGTTAATATAACAGGGAAACCTAAGAGTATTTGCATTTTGCCTGGAAGGCAGAGGTTTAAGGTAGTTTGGCCTCAAAATATATGGGTTATATGTCGAGGGACAAAATTCTGGCCTCAGCTGGATCCATGAAGCCCCATAGATCTTCCCTGGGGTTCTCCTGGCCATTAACAAGGGCAAACAAGAGCCTAGTATGTGCAGGATCCCCTGTACCCTGAGGCAAACTGGATCTAAATTCTTAGAACATCCCACTAGGGGTTTAATGCTTTTGGCCAAATGTCAAGCTCACAGCAAATATTTTTTTCCTTCTTTCTAGGGTTTGCAACAAAATAATGTGGGACTGGATTTGTTATAGATTCGGAGTGCTTCCAAAAGTGTTCAGTTAAAAAAAAAAAAAGGATAACTAGGATTTGAGAGAGTAAAATGGAGTTACTCTTTCAAATAAACTGTATGGAATGTGCTAAAGCCCTCTGGGTTTCGGTCTCTATCCTACATCCACTCACAACATTGATGCTAATAATAATTGAAAATTGGAGACTGGAATGCGTGGCCTTATCTGGCATTGAGTATGAAGGTGATGGTTTTGAAGGCAGTACTATTTTAGAATCTCATTGTCGCTGGTGTTCATGGTATATAGTGTACCACTTGGTGGTAGTTTGGAAGGCGCTTCTATTTCTAAGTAACTTTCTTCTATTTTGGGTAGAAATATTCCTGGGAGGCTTGACAGAAATGCATTTCATTTAGCTATAAGTTTTAGGCACAAGTTACAAAACTGCTGACCATAATGAAAATATATCAGCACTTAGTAGTGTATCCAACAATATAAAAAAATGCAATTCAGAACATCTTCAACTCCATATATGTTGCGTGTGTCAATATATACACCTATTTAGGATGAATACATACATATATATATAAACACACATACATATATAGATATTCAAAACATGTACTGTTTGTAACTAACCTGAAACACTGCAGCAAAGGTTCATTTTGATGAACCATTAGTAGTAGGATTTTCTTTCTTTTGGCTCTAACCATGGCAAAATGTTTACACATCAGACTACACTGGTTATACTACTCTACAACATCAGTGTGCCAGTACCGGGAGCTTCTATGATAATAGTACACTGATAATAGTACACTGCCTAGCTTACACTTATGCAGCTACAGAGCATGCTTGCAGTAACCAACCCTGGGTATCTACGGTTGGTAATACTTTCTTGGATGATCACATTCAGCCGATTGGAAAAATGTGTAAAAGCCCAGTTAACTTCTGCAGCCGCGTGGAGCGGTCATCTTGGCACCGTGCTGACTTTTGCGGGAGTAGGAGGCCCTGATGAACAGCGATAAATTGGTGTAGGAGACGTAGGAGACAGTTTAACTGGGCTCATGGGCTCCGCTGTCTGGAGCTTCCAAAGTAGCTCTTCATTAGTCCTGCTTAACCTCTTCTTTTCCTTGGTTTCTTTCTCCACGTAGTCTTGAAGATTAGCATTTTCCTCAGATAACTGCCTGCAGAGGGAAATAATGCACCAGTTAACATTTCACAAGTCTAAACAGTGCTGGACTGTCATTAAAGCAAATATGACAGCTGCTGAGGCCACTACCCCACACAGCTGTTAAAGTCAACCCCTGTGATAGCTTCATACCAGAGCCATGCTGGCATAGCAATGGTTCGCTCCTGAAGAAGCCAAGCAGAGTATTTCAGCTAATACACCTGCAGTTCCTGGCACAGTGTTTCCATCGCACGATGCTGAGTCAGATCACAGTGACCTAATGCAACCTGACAGAAAATTCCCGGCCCTTTGTATTCCATTTGCTCTCATTTTCGACACCAGGTGTACTGCATGTGAGCGTGAGGGCAAACCCTCTTGAGTTTGTTATTAAGCAAATCAGTTATTCTGAATACTTTAGAATTGTGTATTTTTTCCCAGATGACACAAAAAACAATAATTTTTAAACAAATCACAGAAACAGGGATGGGACTGGATGGCTCAGGGGCACGTAATGGGATTAGAGCCTTTCAAGTCTTTGTCACTGGGGTCTGAATTAGGTCCAGGTTGGGAGTGACTTAAAGTTGTTGCCATCCGATGGGTGTTTGGAGGACCACATGAAATATCGGGTAAAATTAGTCTGATTCCTAGTGGACAGGTGTCCACACTGCAAAACAAAACACTCCCCGAATTACTATTGGCTCTTCCTGGTATCCTTGATGGCAGTCACAGCATATGCAGCCAGGATGAAAAGATCATGAATACTAAATTGATGCTCCCTTCGGGTCAGGCTTAAAGCATGTTGGTGGGGCACTGTGTAACATGCTGTTCCTTTTCTGTGAATGAATAGGACATGTTCAATCTCTAGGGTGGTCAAGCTAACACTGATCATGAGCACAATGGGCCACTTAGCTCAATGCCATGGATGTCAGGTATTGCAGGCCAGGGGATGCTGAGCCTCTCCAAACAGCCAGGCATGGTCCTGCACATGATCTGCCCTGAGGCCCCTCCTACTTCCCGCTCTCCCCTCCCGTGGGCCAGGGTTGGGGCTGGGGCTAGGCAGGGCTGGCCTGCCACCAGGGGCTCGGGGCGGCTGGGGCCGGTGCTCAGGCCGCCCGATGCTGGGGATGACCACCTGGCACTCCAGGGCTAGGGGTGCTTGGGCCGCTTGCCAGGCACTCTGGGGCTGGGGGTGCTCGGGCTGCCCGCCAGGCACTCTGGGGCTGGGGGCGCTGGGGCTGCCCGCTGGGCGCTGGGGGTGCTCGGGCCACCCGCCGGGCTCTCTGGAACCGGGGGTGCTGGGGCTGGCCGCCAGGTGCTCTGGGGCTGGGGGTGCTGGGGCTGGGCGCTGGGGGTGCTCGGGCCACCCACCGGGCTCTCCGGAGCTGGGATGGGGGCACTGGGGCACGCCACCTGGCAATGGGGGTGCTGGGCCTCGCTGCCCGGTACTGAGGGCATTGAGGCTGTGCCAACTGGCACTCTGGGGCTAGGGGTGCTCGGGCAGTACGGGGCTGAGGGGGGCAGCCGGGGCCACGGTGGGGATCTCGGGGCTCCAGCGGGGGCAGGGCGGGACCAGGGGCTAGCCTCCCCAAATAGGTGGTTCACTTGCTGCCCATGCTCTATTCAGAAATTAATTTGGCTTCATGTTTACAACATTTATTAAATATCAAACTGAACATTTTTGGAGAGATTTCTACCCAACTCTTTTTTAACTTTTCCATGTATGCTCTGAGCTGTGAGAGGAGAGTGTGTCTAAGGAGACTACCAATCTACCCATGAATTTGTTTTATACTGCTGCCCATCACTGCAGTATCTGAGCACCTGCCCTGTAAATCCACAGCAACAGCGAAGTTCTTAGGGGACCTCATGGAGTCTCTGACACGGCTCCTTTTTCAGGGTCAGCTTGGGGGAGGGGTTTTGATTTTTCTTAAAAGACTGTATTACTTTCCTCTTCCCCTGCCTCCGCACAGCAATGTGGGCCATAAAGCTTTTATGCAAGCCCAGATAGGCCAACAACCAACCAATATGTGCCTGCCTGGTTTCTGAGAACAGTTTAGCAGGATGCTCATTGAGCACATTTAGGGAGTAACCCTACAGATCTTACTCCCGTGAATGATTCTCAAAGCCACTGAAGGCAATGGGGCTGCCCTCAGAAGCAGAAATACGCATGCAGCAGCTGGAGAATCAGGCCCTCAGAACATATTAGCCTCTTTTACATGTAATACTGCTTGCCAGCTACACAGGGTGATATCCAGTATTACAGTGAACTTGGTAGACTGTCAGCCAATATACTCTCTTCTATGACACTAATAAACACCGGAGCTGGCGGCGGGGAGGAGGGCTGTGAGTTATATGCACAACCTACAGGTAATTTAGAGAGACATTTGAGTAGAATAGTGCCTTCATAGCCAAGCATCTGTGAATAGGTTGTGCAATACAGACATGTCCTCAGAAGACAACCTGCTTTAGCATGCAGATAGGGAAAAGAGCCCTGGCTTGTTACACTGCTTGTTTCATCTCCCACATGCTGTGTCAGGATAGCGCCGTTTCTGCTGTGTCATATGATGTCATGTAACCAGACACAAGGAGAAACAAGCGTCACCTTGCATTGGAGATTGAGGTGGCTTTTCCCTCCTAGGTAGAATACAGTGCTCCTGCTGCCTGTGTTTTGCCACGTACTCCAGCAACCCTGCCACGTGCTTGGTCACGTTATGCCAGCCTTGCCTGTGTCATTTTATTCACAGAATCATGGATTCCAAGGCCGGAAGGGTCCACTGTGATCATCAAGTCTGACCTCCTGCATGGCACAGGCCATAGAACCTCCCCAAAATAATTCCCAGAGCAAATCTTTTAGAAAAATATCCAATCTTGACTTAAAAATTGCCAGTGATGAAGAATCCACCAGGACCATTGATAAATTGTTCCAATGGTTAATTACTCTCCCTGTTAACAATTTACACCTTAATTCCAGTCTGAAGAGCTCATTATTAAATATTTGTTCTCCATGTAGGTATTTATAGACTGTAATCAAGTCACCTCTTAACCTTCCCTTTGTTAGGCTAAATTGACTGATGAGCTCCTTGAGTCTGTCACTATAGAATCATAGAATCATAGAATATCAGGGTTGGAAGGGACCTCAGGAGGTCATCTAGTCCAACCCCCTGCTCAAAGCAGGACCAATCCCCAATTAAATCATCCCAGCCAGGGCTTTGTCAAGCCTGACCTTAAAAACTTCTAAGGAAGGAGATTCTACCACCTCCCTAGGTAACGCATTCCAGTGTTTCACCACCCTCCTAGTGAAAAAGTTTTTCCTAATATCCAACCTAAACCTCCCCCACTGGATTGGTTTCTAATCATTTTCTAAGGATTGGTTTCTAATCCTTTAATCATTCTCATGGATCTTCTCTGAACCTTCTCCAATTTATCACCATCCTTCCTGAACTGACACAGAATTCCAGCAGCAGTTGCACCACTGCCAAATACAGAAGTAAAATAACCTCTCTACTCTTACTTGTGATTCCCTTGTTTATGGATCCCAGGATTGCCTTAGCTCTTTTGGCCACAGCATCACACTGGGAGCTCACATTCAGCTGATTATCCACCACAACCCAGAAATCCTTTTCAGAGTCTGTGCTTTCCAAGACAAAGTTCCCCATTGTGTAAGGATGGCCTACATTCTTTGTTCCTAGCTGAATACATTTGGAGTTAGTCGTATTAAAATGCACACTGTGTGCTTGCACCCAGCTTACTGAGTGATCCAGATTGTTCTGAATCAGTGACCTGTCCTCTTCATTATTTACCACTTCCCCAATTTTTGTGTCATCTGCAAAATTTATCAGTGCTGATTTGAAATTTATCAGTGTTGATGGCGTATGAACAGATGCAAAGTGATTGCACATTAACAATACACATGCTGCCTATGAAGACACATGCCCCAACTAGCTCTTTTCCATCTTTCAAGTAGGATTTGTCATGGGTGCTATGGAAAAGAAACCAATTATTATTCTTGTATCATCTAGAGACCCCCCCCAGTTGAGATCAGGACTCCACAGTACTAGTCACTGTATCAGCAGAGGTAAGACACACTCCCCTGAAGAGCTCACAGTTTACAGAGCCAGGACAGACACAGAGTGGGGGGAAGGAAGGATTACTATTCCCATTCTATAGCAAAGGATTTAGGGGCTACAGTGGATGAGAAGCTGGATATGAGTCAACAGTGTGCCCTTGTTGCCAAGAAGACTAACGACATTGTAGGAGCATTGCCAGCAGATCGAGGGACGTGATCATTCCCCTCTGTTCGGCACTGGTGAGGCCTCATCTGGAGTACTGTGTCCAGTTTTGGGCCCCACACTACAAGAAGGATGTGGAAATATTGGAAAGAGTCCAGCGGAGGGCAACAAAAATGATTAGGGGGCTGGAGCACATGACTTATGAGGAGAGGCTGAGGGAACTGGGATTGTTTAGTCTGCAGAAGAGAAGAATGAGGGGGATTTGATAGCTGCTTTCAACTACCTGAAAGGGGGTTCCAAAGAGGATGGATCTAGACTGTTCTCAGTGGTAGCAGATGACAGAACAAGGAGTAATGGTCTCAAGGGGGAGACCATTAGGTTGGACATTAGGGAAAAAAATGTCATTAGGAGAATGGTGAGGCACTGGAATGGGTTCCTAGGGAGGTGGTGGAATCTTCTTCCTTAGAGGTTTTTAAGGTGAGGTTTGACAAAGCCCTGTCTGGGATGATTTAGCTGGGGATTGGTCCTGCTTTGAGTAGGGGGTTGGACTAGATGACCTTCTGAGGTCCCTTCCAACCCTAATAGTCTATGATTCTATAGATGGGAATCAGAGGCATAGAGAGGTTAAGTGATTTACCCAACACCACATAGGAATCTATGGCAGAACTGGGAACTGAACGTGGATCACCAACAATTTAACTGCAAGCAATTCTTCCTCCTTGGGAGACCAGCCCTCTCCTCTGATTGCTAAAACCCCTGGAATTCTCAAGAAGGAGGAGGAGGATGTAGAAAGGATTAGAATCAAATATTATCTCCTCACTGTCTCCATCATCAGCCACCTATTTTAACACTATCTACTGTACGCTGATTCCTGCCTTCCACTGTGGGAGCCCCCCACCATGCCATCTGATTGGGCCATCTGATTGGGCCCACCCCTACAGTTATGCTGATGCCTGTATATGCAGATCTTTTCATGTCCCCACCTCAGAGTGGGGCTGCCTCTCTCCGTCCTAGTGAGGTCAAGCAGCAGGGGTCACTCCTATTCCCTGCATCTGCCCAGAAGGCGCCAAAGGAACAGGGGGCTTGGGTACTGCTCACTACATGATCTTAGATTGCCCAGTACATGAGCCCACCAACCTGTCCGAGTTGCTCCATGCCTGTACACTGCTGAGCTTAGGGTTTGGCTTGTGTTACCCACCTGAGTGGCAGATGGCTTTCTGGAGCTGGCCTAGTGCAGGGCTGAGCTACGAGACTCTTAGAGGTTTATGCTGTGGACTGGACAGAGCCCTTGTTAAAGGAGGCAAGCAGCGTCATAGATTATTTTAAAGGATTACACATTTCTGTGAATGAGAATAGCCCCTGCTGTTACACTAGCAAAGATAAAATGATATGGGTTATCCTCCTGTCTGTTGTTCAACCTGACCACCAACTGAGGGCAAGACGACATTTCACTCCATACATAACAGGGTGAATTGTGGGAGTTTTATATTTTCCTCTGAAGCATCAGGCATTAACCACTGTTGGAGACAAATTACTGGATGTCATTAGATTGCCTCTGTGTGAAAAATCTTATGTTAACCCCTCCCTATACCCATATCCTTCCTTAGAGGTTTTTAAGGTCAGGATTGACAAAGCCCTGGCTGGGATGATTTAGTTGGAGACTTGTCCTGCTTTGAGCAGGGGGTTGGACTAGATGACCTCCTGAGGTCCCTTCAAACCCTGATATTCTATGATCTAACAAGGCTGAAAAATGATTTGCTTTAAAGTTGACTTTCCAGGTAGATCTTAAGTTCAGGATCCTCTCTGAATAGTTTATTTTTAAAGCAACATTCCCCACATTGAGAAATGTATATAAAAGAAACAAAACACAACACCTACAAGTGACTGTGGTGACCTATCTCCTAGAGCCATAGTTTTCAACCTTTTTTCATTTGTGGATCCCTAAAAAATTTCAAATGGAGGTGCGGACCCCTTTGGAAATCTTAGACAATCTGCAGACCTGCAGGAGTCTGCGACCACAGATTGAAAACCACAGTCCTCGATGAATGCTGATGGGGCATATTTGCTTTTAAATGTCTATGTTCAGAAAGCTTTGGTTCATATATATATTAGGGAACTCCTGAAGTTAAGACCCATAAGGAAACCCAGCCACTAAGGAAAAACACTCTTTTAACTTAGCAGCATCCTTTCTCCAAATATGTGTAGAAAATAACTGTATCTAACTGACATTGAGTGTTAACCTGGTGAGCCTGGAAATGGTCGAGATGTGATACTATTTGTTGGGCCACAATGCCTACAAAAAATTTGACAGTGGTTAGGTTGTTGTTGTGCTTGGCCCACAATATCAATATTGTCTCACTGTTTCCTGGTACTCCCCCGTCTCGCTGTATCCCGTCTGGTGTCTTGCACTTAGATTGTAAGCTCTTTGGGGCAGAGATTGTCTTTTTCTTCTCTGTTTATACGGCGCCTAGCACAAAAGTTTCTACTGCAGTATAGAATAGAATAGAAAACGCTAAAGCAGCCTTAGGTACAGTGATGCTACCAGCACAGTTAGTATATTACAGTGCAAACTGCTAGCTCTCCCGCACCCGGTAGCTGCTGACTATTAGTGCGGCATTGACTCCGGACTCAGAGGCAACTGGGACTTTTGTTCTCAGTGGTGAGGCCGGGAGCTTAATGTAACACGGTTATGTAGCCAACCTCCTTTATGCAAAAATAAGCAGAAGGGAGTTTCCGGGGGGGGATGCTTAGTGCGACTGCTCCCGAAGGAGCTGTTAGCCCCGGGTAGTTGTAGTGTTACTGGTTCCTGTAAAACTCAGGGTGGTTCCCAAGTCTCTGCACGAACCTGGTCACAAGGGTATTCCGATCAATCCGGACTCTCATGTCTTCGTTCTGCTGTTGCAGGACCTGCAATTTTTCTTCCAGTATTGTGTTTTTTTCAGCCTGCAACACGAGAAGGGCTTGCTGAGTTTGCAGCAGTCGCAGCACTTGATGCGGGGGAATTTGGGGTTTAATCCCTAGGAAGAAGCTCTCTTTTCCTTACAGTAAGAGCTAACAATCCTTGTCAGGGGAAGGTAGATTATCCTGGCTGCAGATGCGATTTTAGGTTGTGAATGGTTCACCAGCACGTCACTCCCATGAAATCAGTGGGGTGACACTGGTATGGCACAGGAGTGAGGCAGCGGTGAATTAGGTACAATGTTCTGAGTCAAGAGAGTCAACCTTTCCCCCCCAGTACCCCTGTTATCCGTACTGGACCCCTCTGCTCCGCCCGCAGAACCTCCCGAACATGTGTCTGAGTTCCCCCTCCCAAAGGGCAGGGGAGTCATGGTCCCCTGACATCTGCTGGGGTCACACACCCCACATTGAGACCTCCTGTAACAGGGTTATATAAATCATATGCCTCGTGGAAGCAGAACCCTACTGTCTGGCATGGCTGAGAAACAGCACAAACAGAATGACTGGAGACCACCTAGGCCAGGGCATGCCACTGTATCAGCTGTTTCCACATTCAGCTTTAGCTTAAGGAAGCAGCAGGTTAGAGAATGTTGTTAAGAAGTCTGAGCTGCGAAGGTCTATTTCACCCTCTATCTGTTCAATCAACTGGGTTCCCAAACTTCCCCATAAATAGAAACAAAGCTTGCTAAGTGCTGTGCTAAAGCAGCCAGCCCGGCTGCCCCACTGTGGCAATGGCTCATCCTGTCACTGTGTTAGAAGTTCACACAGGTCAAGTCTCACAAAATGGCTTCACTTTACAATGAAAACATAACTCCTGGTTAACTGAAAAGTTCATACCTGGCGAGACCAAAACACAAATAGAGTGAGAATAGAGTGGCTAGGAGGCAGTGTTATCTTTATGGTGGGGAGCTATAATTCAAAGCACTCGCAGCATGACCCTAACCTGGGATTTCTGGTTGCACCCTCGCTAATTTACACTGCTGAGCAAGACTTCTCACCAATTACTGAATTAAGGAGCCACACGGCACAAGTGTCCTCTCCTTCTTCCACCCATGTTGCTCCCGCCTTGTTGGCTGCCCCTACTCCTGACTTTGGAGGCAGGGAACAGGGACAGCTGGTGCTCCATACTTAGCTATAGGGATGCAGGAATCACAGCGGCCCCCCTCCTCCACTGTCTCCTCCCCTAGCTAACCTCCCCCTGCAAGCGGAGCAGATTTCAAAGTGAAAACCAGAGAGACCAGCACGGGGAATCATGGAGAGGTTTTGGGGGATGTTATGGGGGATGAAGGAGGCTGGTGGGGAAGTAGATAAAAAGAAGCATCCCCCTTCCCACTCTCCCTTTCAGAATGAAAAACTGGGACACTTCACAGGAAAGTGCAGGGGGCAGAAAACAGTATTTAGCCCTCTGTGATCCCTTCATTGTGTTTTTCCAGTCCCAGCCTCCTCCCACTCCAGTTTAGCTCCTAGCTTCCTATCTCCCTGTTCTGGGAGGGGAAAATGATAACTGACCAGCTTTTCCAGTTCCATGATCCTCTTTTCCTGTTGATGAATGAGCTGATTTTTCATTTCCAAAACCTGCTTCAGGCTATTCATATCTTCTTCTAAGTGCTGATATGGAGCTAGTGCAACCTAGGAAAAGAAGGATGACAGTGAATTCTAAGTTTTCCAACTGTAATCATGTATTCAGCCACTTGGTAAAATTTTCCCAAACACCCAACTGATTTAGAGCCTAACTCCCATGAAAGCCAAGGGGATGCAGGCTCCGAAATCACTGGGGGTGTTTTGAAAATGTTACCCACTATCACCATTCAATCATTTTAGCTATATACCTAACTTCATAAGAGAGACACGGTGGGTGAGGTACTTGCAGTAGGTGAAAGAAGTCTGAATGTTACTCAGTACCCATGACCCAACCCACTGCTAGGTCTCCTAATATACAGAATTGTTTATGTCTGTGCGGAGCTTTACTCTTTCCGGAGAAGAGCACAAGTGTGAAATAGCAACAAAATTTGGAGATGGGGGCTGGGTGTTTGCAGGTTAGAACAGTAACGGATCACGCTGTCTGTGGTGTATGTGGCAAAACAGGTGAACTATTCATAAAGATTAAAGTCCCAGAGGGGAGAAAGACAGTGAATCGGGACACAAAGATACTCCCCTTTCCAGCTTAGTATCTCTGAAGTTCGGGGGCTAGGGTTCAATTTACCAAAGCAGTATTGGCCCACACTTTTTTCTCAGTTACACTGAATGGAATCCAGAGTAATACCAATGACTTCAGTTACTTCGGCTTTACAAAGGTACAACTCGCTCCACTGTCGCTGGTGTCAATACTCCGGATTTACAGCAGTGTACCTCAGAACAGAATCTGATCCTTTACACACATTTTGCTCTGAGAGGGCAAGTTCACCGGCATACCCCAGTCGTTTGGCTGCTCGGATGGAAAAAAGCAGGCGCTGACCTCAATCTAGCCCATGGAAAGTTCTAGAAAGGCACTAGAAAGCAGGGAGTTCTGCATTCTCAAAAGGTATGTGGGGCCCAACGTTAGAAAATGGTCTTCATTAGGTCCAATTTCCTACAGAGTCTGCTAATAATGGGCTTCATTTCGACCACCAGCTTTAGGGATTCTACTGCTTTGTCGTATTTTGAACAGGATGTTGATGGAATAAACCTCTCCTGTGATATCCCCTGGGCCAGACAGTCCATTACAGGAAAAATGAGGACGGATAGCAAAGAATCCCAGCAGGGTGAGGGGGAGAGGCACATTAATATGAAAAGATGTGAAGAGGTAGGAGAAACACCACAGAGGGGAGAAGAGAGAGAGGATTGGGGGTACTAAAAAGTAATGGAGGGAGCCAGAGAAAAAGCCCAAGAAACAGAACTACAGAAGCAAGTGAGAAATAGATAAAATGAAGCAAAACCAGAAATGGATGGATAATGACCCAGTAATAAGAGAGAGTGGGAGAGCTTTGTATCCAGAGCCACATGTAGATTCCAACCCCCCCTACAAAGCTCAGGATCCAGAGCTTTGGTTTGGGCCCATTTGAGCTGAGATTTCCTTTGCTAATAATCTACCAATACAAATGTGGGCCATATTTACAAGCAGGTCCTGCTGTTTTTAAAATGTATATTAAGGTTGTTAGCTACCTCTAGTTGCTCTTCAGTGTTTTTCTTTAAAGCCTCTTCAAATCGCTTTGCCTTGTCCCTTAGAGAATGGCTCTGGAAGGTGAGGGTATCTACCTGGTCCTGCAATTAATGACAAATAAAAAAACCATTAGGCTCTAATGATGCAAATCATTTCCCACCACTGCCAAAGTACATGGGGGAACTGAGTAGAAGGGCTTAGAAGCTACTGCGAGGTGACATTTTTACATGAAATCACTCAAACTCACAGTGGAGATTTTGATAACTTGGTAACTAACAGAATCAGGATTTCACGTGGAGAACCGGAGATTAATCATCTGGTTAGCTTAAATTGGCCACCAACAGCTGCTTCTAAAACTGTATCAAGCTAAGACATCCCAGCCCTTTTGGCTGTGTGAGACCCAGTCCACTTGCTTTGAAGGACAGGCATGTTTGTGTCATACACATGAAGCAGATAACCTCTACAAGGTTAGTGCTCCTCAGGGATCAGCGTGGGGAGGTACGCAAATACTGCTCACAATCCCAAGCTTCAGAGCAGCTAGAAGCCTCGGCTAAAATGATAAGCAGTGAAAGAGTCAGGAGCGGTGCCAGTTTCTTCCCAGTGGGGAGGCTGAGGTGGGCTACACAGAAAATTGTGGGGCTGCACCCCACATCACCACAAGGCCACACCCCCTGTTCCTCCTCAGATAAGTTCTGGTCCCACCTCCTCCTTCCCCCTTGGGGCCCTGTTCCCCAGGCCAGGTTGGAGGCCGGAAGCCAGAGCCAGGCAGTGCAAAGCAGCTGATGCGCTGGCTGGTGCCATGGTTTGAGGGGCCATGCCACTCCCCCGTCTTCTCCTCTTGCTGTTGTTGCTTGGGGCCCCAGGGTTGCAGCTCTTCCTCAGCTCCCCACCACCCTTCGACTGCTCGCAGCCGACCTGGCTCCAGGGCTGGCAGAGCCCTCAGAGAGCAGCAACCATGGTGGCAGGGCCCAGGAGCATGGGATGGAGTGGGTCAGTCCAGGCCGCTGTGGGGAACCGTGGATCCTCCACCTGCCCTGAGTGGCGTGCCCCGGCAGATGGGGACACAAGCCAGGGGCTGCTCTCAGGCCTCCCGGCCTCCTGTCTGGGCTTACTTCTGCACTGCTGCTGGTGACGGCACTACCTTCAGAGCTGGGTGGCCAGAGAGTGGTGGCTGCTGGCCGGGCACCCAGCTCTGAAGGCAGCACTGCTGCCAGCAGCAGCTGAGAAGTAGCTGCATAACATTTAACCTTTGCCCTGGGAGGGGTGGCTGTAGGAGGCTAAGACAAATTTTGGGGTGGCTATAGCCCTTGCAAGCCTCCCCTCCCCCCAGTGCCACCTCTGGAAAGAGCTAACATGATTGACTTTGGACTGTCATCATTATGTTTCAGAGTTAACACTCCACTAAGATGAAAGGGGGTTGTTCACAGCACTCTAAGGACCAAATGCTAAAGCCCAAATAAATGGGCTTTGCTAGGAGGCATCAGATGGGTTAGGGGAAAATAATTCCCTCTCAGTCCAGCAGCTTGTTTCAGAATAGTTGCAGAGCTGCTATCCATCAGCTTTAGCAGCATCTGGGATCTCTGCCATCTTCGTGAGGAAAACGATGAGGTGGAGAATTAAGGATTGTGGAGTCAAGTAACAAAGGATCTGCTTGCAACTCTTCTTCCTTTGCCTTGCTAGAAAATTTAACTTGGGATCTGAAAACTACGCTGTGTTCTTTTTGCCTCTTGCATCATTATCAGTGACAGAGATTCTGCAGTCAGAATGTAGGTAACTCTTTTGATGATGATGTATGAGGCAGAACAGAATCCAGCTTACTCTTTCATCATGGCATTAGCTCTGCAGCACTAAAACAATACTACAGGTTATAAAACAACTCACCTAGCCCAGTGATGGGATTCAAGAGACACTCAATGTATTTTTGACCCTGGTGAAGGCTTCAGACTGAAACATGTAGGTGCTATTGATCCTACTGCTATAGCTAATCTCTTTAATTACTTTATGGAATAAAGGATTTTAAATGTTAACCTCAGTGAACCACTGTCTTGGAAGTTTCAGTACTCATGCAGATGCATTATTTACCAGTTATAGCTCTGCCTCATGATGAGCACAGAGTTCCTGATTGTGGCCTGTGGATGACTTTGCACGATAGCAAGGAAATCTTATTTTTGTAAGTAAGCAAGATACACAGAAGGGGACCAATGATTTGAGAAACAATCTGATCAGAAAAGTGATTGTATTAAAATGGCGCATTAATAGGTCAAGATTTTAATATTCCTACCTTACGTACAGCATCTGCAAAAGCTGCAGTTGCTGTGGAGGCCAATCATTTTGAAGTTCTGTCTTTTGTCTGCGTAAAATCTTAACCATAACCTTCCATTAATGTAGTTTATTGCACCAAATAATAGAACCACTGATAGAATTTTCAATTCTATAGCTACACAGTCAATGCTGCTGCAATAGCTGTGTGGAATTGTGCAAGTTACTTGGTTTTTGAAAAGCAAAATTAGTCTTTGACTAGATAAACAAGCAGCGCTAACACCATTTAACATGGCACCTTTACTTGTTCATACAAGAGCTGCACATTTAGCATGCATCACAGGGACACACTTTCTCCTGGTGGATTTCGATCTCAGTCTAGAGAACAGAAAGCTGAATTTCACTATACCCATTCTAAGTTGATCTGATTTTCAGCTGGTCATTATGGGGAGAAATTGTGCCAGGCAAACAGAGACAGGACAGTGCAAGTGACAGATTAGAGCTGCAGAACCCAAAGGGGAGATTTTACAAATTGGTATATAAAACTATTGTGAGGACAAGAGTCCAGCTGGGATGGATGAGGAAAGCTAGATTTTGCTCCCATTCACTTGGCTGGGAGCAAGATGGGCCTGAAGAAGGCAAATGAATCAAAACATTTTTTAAAAAAACTTCTTAAAATCTATTTCCCCAGCTGCAATTTCTTTGCTTTTGGGGTTTTCCCTCTTCTCCTTCAGGCGCATTTAGCATTTTGCTGCTTCCACTGGAGGGAGAGAAGCTGAGGAGGCATCTTTGTAGCTAGCATACAGCTTGAAAAGAATGAGCACAAGAGCCAAGCAGAGCAGAGGGGTTAGCCAATCAGCACAGATAAAATGTGCATAATTGCTGGACAGTCCTTTAAAAATCATCATACAGTAATTATGCAAATCCCTAAACTCGGATTGATTAATAACAGCAATTAGCCAATCAGAGTGCCGGGATTCACATACTATAGTTATTGAGAACTATTGGCATGGTCATGTTGCAAATCAGACATCCAGAACCCATCCGTGTGGGGGGGACTGCCTTACTGAGAAAATGCTGTACAGTTAGGGGGCAGTAACTATACAGCAGCCCTTAGACTGGCTGAGAGAATTCCATGTCACTAAAGTGCTATCATAATGACCAGTTTTGCAGCATCATTGGGCTTTGGACATAACAAAAGTATTAACCTGGAGTGACAGCCGCAGTTTTTCAAAACTCTCTTCCAATTCTTTCTTTTCCAGTTCGTGGGCAGACATCAGTTCTAGGGAAAATCCACAAACATTACATTGCTAAATGGCTCTAAGAAACAGTATAAATCATGGACAGTGAGTACATTTATCTTCCCTATCATGAACCAAACTTTATTAGGAAGGCAGCTCTAGTGGACTGAGCAGGGCCTAGGAGCCAGGCAATAACTCACTGCATGGCCATGGGCAAATCACAAAAACCTAAATTTTCAAAAGCATCCACTGATTTTGCGTGCCTCCATTTCTGAGGGCCTTGTAATCAGAGGTACTGAGAACACACAGCTCTCACTGAGTCTGACTGGAATGGTGGGCGCTCAGACCTCTGCAAACCAGGCCCTTAATATTTCTAGGCATGCATCAAAAACTGAGGTACACTGAATGAATGGACAATATTAAGTTTGGGCCTTAAATCTCTTGTATGTGTCCAGGTCCCCATCTGCAAAAATGTGTGTAAGAATATTTACCTAGGATTCTTCACAGAAATACTGGGAGGGTTAATTAATTAATGAGCATGTTGTACTTTGAAGATCATAAAGTACGATATAAGTATTAAATGATTCTTTTTATAATTATTGCAATAAGTCACCCAACTATGATTTAATAATCAGAAGTAGATTAAAGTTTAATAACTAAACCAATTGTAGCAAACTGTGATTGAATAAATAAAATCAGCTCTCTCCGATCAGCCTTGTTTATGAATGCTTGGAGTACATTACAATTTAACTGGTGCAATGCCATTTTCATCCACAAGAGGGTACTTGAAACCTGTGCTATGAGAAGAACCCACAAAAATTCTGACAGCACATGCCTCAACAGTAACACTGGAGTTCCATCACTGAAAAATAAAGTAGTTGAGTAGTTAAAAATATCCTCAGTCAGGGAAGAGTTTTGTTTTCAAAAGGAATAATAATTTTAAAAGACATCAAACTATTTTCTGTCTATAGGATGAGGAAACAGGTTGCAGAGTGCAACTAACATAGAGTAGATGGTTCTGAATTGTGTTTCTAAAAGGCTGAGCACAAACCTAAGCAATATTACTTAATTCAGGAATGTAATAGAAAAATCTAGTACAGTGGTATAGGGTGCACTAGGCCAAGACATCCCTTGCTAGAGGCTTCGGCGTCCTGCCACACCCATCCCAGGAAAGGAGCAGTAGAGGACTCCTCCACGCAGCCTAGAGTGGCTGCAGGGGAAACAGCCAATCAGAAAGGCTGCAGGAGGGCCATATAAAAGAAGCTCCAGAGACAGTTCCTTGCTGGAGCTAGAGCAGTGGCTCTCAGCCGTTCCAGGCGACTACCCCTTTCAAGAGTCTGATTTGTCTTGCGTACCCCCAAGTTTCACCTCTCTTAAAAACTACTTGCTTACAAAATCAGACAAAAATACAAAAGTGTCACAGCACACTATCACTGACAAATTGCTTACTTTCTCATTTTTACCATATAATTTGACTCTGTGTCTGTCACAGAGAGGTCATGGAAGTCATGGAATCCATGACTTTGCATGATCTCTGTGACTTCTTCAGAGGCCAGTGTGGCCCCAGGGCCACCTAAGCAGCTGGCTTTGGGGCCAGCTGCTCAGGTGGCCCACAGGACAGCCACATCAGCTGCTGCTGGAGCAGCCCCGGGAACAGCCATATCAGCTACTGCTACTGTGGCCCCCGGCAGCAGTCCTGGAGCAGCCATGGTCCACTGGCCACAGCAGCAGTCTCCGGGCAGCTGGACAGAGCAGCCATGGTCCGTGGCCCCCAGCAGCGGTCCCTGGCTGGCCATCTGGAGCAGCTGCAGTCCACGGTCCCGGACAGCTGGTGTCGCAGGCCCTGGGTGCCCCCCCTTTCCCCAGCAGCAGCCCTCCCGGCTCCCCCCTAGCAGTGGCCCCCATGGATGTCCCCCAGCAGCACCCCCCCCTCAAGATTTAATCATAGGTACTTTTAGTATAAGTCATGGACAGGTCACAGGCCATGAATTTTTGCTTATTGCCCGTGACCTGTCCCTGACTTTTACTAAAAATACCCATGACTAAATCATAGTCTTACATAGAATTATTTTCTTACATAGAATTATAAAATAAATCAATTGAAATATAAATATTGTATGTATATCTCAGTGTACAGTATATAGAGCAGTATAAACAACTCATTGTCCGTACAAAATTTTAGTTTGTACTGACTTCGCTAGTGCTTTTTATGTAGCCTGCTGTAACACAGGCAAATATCTAGATGAGCTGATGTACCCTCTGGAAGATGTCTGCATACCCCCCAGGGGTATGCGAACCCTGGCTGAGAAACAGGGAGATACAGAAGTGCAGATGTTGTTCCGGGCTGGTCAGAGGGAACTGAAATACCATAGACAGCTCAGTGCTTGCAGGGACCAGGGGAGCGAGGAAAAGCTCCTGCCTGGCTGCTGGGCCTGAAATTAGATGAGTCCTGAGGTAAGGATGAAGCTTTGGTGAAGGCTGGGGTTGTGGGGAAGTGGCCCAGGGAACTGAAAGCAGTGTAATTAAAGAGACATGATGGCATGTGTATGCTATTCTTATGGTCCCTGGGCTGGGACCCGGAGTAGTGGGTGGACCAGACGTCCCCCACCCATAGCTACTGTGGAACTGGCCTACAATCGGACAGCAATAAACCCCCAGAAGGGGAACTGAACTACTTAGCGGCCCAGCTGGGGAGCTAGGAACCAGAATAGACTATGAGGGCGAAACTATTGCCTCCAGGCAGGAAGCCCTGGGAGTACAGCCTGATACTAGGGCCAGGACTATTTAAAGACAGCAGACACACCCAATCAGAAGGGGTGCTTGAGAGAGGTGGGGTGCCATGCCGTTACATAGTTATTTAAATATTAGGCATCCGGTGTTTGTTTGTGTGTGTGTAAGAGAGAGTGGTACCCACTGCATATCAATCCACACAAGAAAATTGATGTGTTTTGTGTTTTATTCTGAAGTGCCTGTGTTCTGATTGTCTGATCAGATCACATGGACACACAACAATAAGGCAAAGGATTGAGGGTAAAATTTTCATAAGTGTCTAAGTGACTAAGAAGCATATGTCTATTTTCCAAAGAGATTTAGGTCCAGATTTTAAAAGGTATTTAGGTGTTGCTCTGCTCAGCACTGCAAGGCCTAAGTTATTTTGGAGCTTAAATCTCATTTTCAAAAGTGAAAGTCAAGGGGACTTAAGTTCCTAAATGCCTCAGTCACTTTTGAAAATGAGACTTTGGTTCCTAAGTCTCAAGGTATTACAGTGCTGATCGGAGCAACATCTACATATCTTTAAAATGCAGGTCTCGGAAACCTAATTCCTATTGACTTTCAATGAAGTTTAGGCTTCAAAGTATCTATATCTCTCCTGACAATGGGATGTAGGCTTCTAAGACAATGAACATTTTTGAAAATTTTACCCTAAGTTCTGGATCTCCATTACCTGGGAATATCACCAATACAGACAGAATTCAGCTCTCAGTTGCAACTATGCAGCTCCCTGTGACTTCAAAGGGAGTCATGCATTTGAATCTCATTTGGCATAATGCAGACTTCTCATACTGTGAGATCCTGAGTGGTGCAGAGAGCCGCCAAGTGAAGCTATGGGAAGTTGAGTGCTCAGCACCTGGTGGGATCAGGCCTGAAGTTGTTCACAGTTTGCTGATCACAGCATGACAGTTCCTTCCAATCTGAGTGAAGGATTCCTCCCATGCAGTATTTCGGTCTGAAATGCACTGGAGCACTAACCGCTTCCTTTTTTAGCTCCCTTTATAGGTGTTTAACGCTACTCACTGGTGGGCTTATATACAACACCATTAGCACCAGGGTCTTCATTTTAAATCATATCACGGCTGCACTCTCCAACGCAGCCGTTTAATTTCTTTTGTCTCCACGGTTAATGCTCACCATCCTTCACAGCCTAAGACTATTGGCTAAAACTAACATTTCATTTCACGAAGGGCCTGACTGTGCATGGTCCCCAGTACCTCTCAATTCTCACTAACCCCCAGAGAGCGGAGGGCAGGTGTCACCTTGCAGGGTCCAGCTTGACATTAGCAGTGACATGTCTAGTTTAAGGCTGTAACCATGCTGCCATAAAAACAACTGTCCTTTCATTATTCAGGGGTCAAAATCATTTGCACATACTGTAGGTATCTATTATACGCCACATCAATCAGTATAAATTCCCTAGAACTGGCCAGTAATGTAGGCTTATGATATTATTCTCATCAAAGCCCCTGGTGTAACAGAAAAGCTGGCACGCAGTTTTACAAAACGAAGGGCAGGAATTGGTGACTACACTGGGCTGGATTCTATGTGCCTGCCGGGAGCCTCTCTGCAGTGACAATGTGTGCGTAAGGTCTTGCATTTCAATAGTGGCTGACCAGGAAGGGGAAGGTGTTGGGGAGCAGCCATTCTACAACGCTGGCGCCCATAGCAATAGCCCTTAACTTACACCTGGCAAAATCAAACCTCTGCCCATTGCAGCACTGACTCTAAAGTGCAGAGTTATTCCCTGCCCTGTATTTATGAGTGAGTTCAGTCTAATTTTAAATGTGTACAACAATGATGTTTCCATTAAGAGTGACTGGAGTCCTCCTGTGTTCTGGAGTGGATGTCGGGGTATACTAAGCAATCAAAAGGCATGGGTTCTGCCTTTTCTAGTCAACCCCTATCTTAAGCATTATGCATGTACTGAGGTGCTTTTCTGCTCTCGTCCTTGGCAGCAAAGACAGCCGATGAAGGTTTATAGGGTTTCATTGTGGAATATTGTTTCCTCCCTTTATCACCTCCCTACAGTGCAACTACATAGAGAGAATTCAGTCCAAAGTTAGAGGGCCAGGGTTATCGGTCAACTGTGATTTTGTCATCTGATGGGGATTAAGGAGCTTCAAGCCCATCTCACAGCACTCCCAATTTTAGGACTAGGATGGTTCCGTATGTATAAGTGTCTCAGGATTACCTTGAACTTTGTTGCCATGCTCATCCTGGAGTACTGCAATGGCAACTGTATGATTGTTTTCTATCTCTAACATTGCAGCTTCGTGAGTGGCTGAAATATCTTCCACCTGTTCAAAAGACAACAAAATGAAGTTATGGACAGAAAAATATTAGTGCTATGAAGCACCAACAGGAGGAACTATCAGAAAACACCAGGGACGTGGAAAATTACAGATGACATGGATTGAGTGCAACAGTTCTTACGTTATCGAGTGTAATGATTAATTGCAGAAAGTGTGTTATGACTCCCCGAGTGACGGCATGTGGCCACTGCAGCCTGCTTTGCTGCTCTTGCAACTTAATGGTAACAATAGTGGTAATTAAAAAAAAAAAAAACACAGGCTGAAAACCTTTCATTTGTCAAGGCCATTTATGTGTTCGGAAACCTCAGCAGCCCATAAACTGAAATGTTATTAACAAACCAGACTCTCCCATATGATCTGATAAACAGATCCAATTCCAAGATATCCTGGGTTTATTGCCCTTCATAGTATTCTACTTCAATTATTTTTATTTTAAGACCTTGAATTAACCTCAATGGAAGATGCCAAAAAGATTTAGCATTTATTTATAGAAAAACAGCGAAAATAATAGCTAACGGCAAATATAATTTGTTAATTGAACAATAATTATTTAGAGAATCATCATTACAAACTCCTATTCCCAGCTAAAATGCTCATATGCTTATTAATCCAATCCCAGTAAATCACTGATACACTCTGTTAATATAAGCACATGCATTTTCAACTTGGTGCAAAAATAAATGATTGAGATGCCCCTGAAATCAGAAAGTTTCCCTTCTTCTTCTCTTACTGATCACTGAAAGCTTTCCTGTTATTTCAGTCAGATGCAAACAACGACAAAAGCTACATGATAATATATAGACCAGCAAACCTTTCCACTGCCTACATTCAGATAACACAACTGCTGGTTTTGTGTAAGGCGTGACAATGGATCGTTCCTTCACATCTTTTATTATAGGGCCTGTGGATAAGATATAGCCAGATTCCAAATTTTTCTTGTTATGTCCATGAGACCCAGGAGTGAGAATATAGAATTACTTGACTGCAACATTAGGCCAATCCAGTGGCTAAATAGGCAAGGAGGTGAATATATTAAGAAGTGGTTCAACAAAGTGCACTTTATTCTTCAGCTCCCATTGGTGGATCACACACTGGTTTATTTTTGATATGATAATGACAATAAAGAATAAATATATATAAATAAGACTAATGGGAGTTTTGTCTGAATAAATCACATAGGATTAAAACCTCTTAATTTAGCTGAGATTCATTCTTAGCACCAGAGATGGGCATCAAGTCAAATATAATGGAATTGTGTCATGTAGCTGTTATCAAAACACAATGCTCATAAAAAAATCACGTAAAACAGCCTCAGCCTTTTGAATATTCATTCATACTTGTCCGGTGACAAATAGTCACCGGACAAGTATGAATTAACTATCGCAAAGATTAACTGATTAACTAATTAACTGATTAACTATCGCAAAGATTCTACAACTACATTGTTTCTTGTGACAGCGCTGATCAGACAATTAATCTACCACATAAGACACTGGAATCATTTCAATCTCTTTTACAGGTGGCTTTCCCCTCCACTTTATATTTTGAGTACAGTTAGTGTTCTTGAAAGGTGCCAGGTTGGCACCCCTGGAGACTGATGCACCTGGCATCTCTATGGAACAGACACATCACAGGCTGTGACAAGATAAACTTCTCCAAATCGTTCCAACCTGGAGCTGGAGGAACTGCCTCTTTGTTTGGTCTCCATGCTTGCTCAAACCTTAGTCTACAATGGTGCCATGTAGTATCAGTTCCGGTGGTGGTTTCTGTTGATTTGGACAACTGTCCTAATAGAAATGGACTAGAACCATCAACTCACATCGGAGCAGGCCAATGCAAAAACATCAGATGGGAATGAGTCCTTGCCACTATTGACCCAATGACCTAATGCTGAAAATTTCCAATTTCCTGGGCCCTCCAGGCTCCTTCAGAGTAATTTTCTGATTGCCATATATAAAGGACTATATAAGTCACTTGCTCTTCTGGGCTTTGTGAGTTATAATGATCACATTCCCTAATCAAACATATTCTCTTGTGTTGTTTTGTAATGTGGTATACCAATTGTATTTTTTAGAGTGAAACAGCTGTTCACTGTGAAGTTGCTTCATGCACACAGCTGTTTTATTTACACAATGTTAGATTAGAGAACAAAGACAGAGCCACAGAACTAGTGTAGATAAGAATAAATGTTTTACTACATTTAATCATTCAAAATATCTAAGTTAGCTCAGCCATTAGCTGCCACATTTCTATTTAAATTAGATAAATTTACATTTAGAATGAAAAATATACATTTAGTTTGGAATTTGAAATTATACAAACTTGTCTTAATGATAACAAGAAGAGACGGTGCTATAGTTAAGAATTATTCAGAAAACAAAGTGGGATTTAGTTGCTGAGATGAGCTCTAAAGTGTGAGTGAGTAGAGGGCTGGGTGGCTTAGTGAGCTGGTAACAGGGGCAGCTCTACCAATTTTGCTGCCCCAAGCAGTCGCCACCGAATTGCCGCTGCGCGCGGCAGAGCTGCTGCTGAATTGCCGCCGCGGGACACGGACTGCTGCCCCATTCTCAATGCCACCCCAAGCACCTGCTTGGAAAGCTGGTGCCTGGAGCAGGCCCTGGCTGGTAATGTGTATGAATACCATCAACCCCTTCCCCTAGTATGTATATTCTCTTTGTTTGTATGTCAGCCTATCAACACCTCTGAAGCACTGCCAGAATTCTTTACCTTGTGCTTGCTTAAATCTTTTTTCATGCCTTACTTGCTTTCTGTATGAACAACACTCCATTGGAATGATGATGCTAAATCCCTAATCTTTTGAGATCTAGGAAACAGGAGCAGAGTTCCTCTCACCACCAGCTTCACCGGCAGGTTCCCACTCAATGAAGCCAAAAAGCTAGTTTTCAAAAATTTCTCCACGGATTTGCACAGCCTACACTTCTGACTCCATACCCATTTTCCTTCTGGCTCCCGTTGTTCTCCCACTGTGGCCTCCTCTGCCCCTTTTCATAGTAGGTCGATTCTTTCGCACATGGCATCAGATCTCCTGGGTTCTAACCTCAGGTCTACCACTGACTCACTCATTAATCTTGACAAAGTCACCTAACCTCATTTTTCCATCTGTAACAACTACCTCCCAAAGGAGTTATAAGCTGTAAGAATGTAAGAATGGCCATGTGGGGCCAGATCAGTGGTTCAGAAGACCTGTCTTCTGACAGCTGCCAATGCCAGATGCTTCAGAGGGACTGAACAGAAGATGGCAACTGTCGAGTGATCCATCCCCTGTCATCCAGTCCCAGCTTCTAGCTGTCAGAGGCTTAGGGACACCCAGTCCACTGGGTCGCAACCTTGACCACGGTGACCATATTTCCTATGCTGAATACAGGACATCTGGTAAAATTACTTGTATTCAAGAGAGTTCAATGGCAATCAGCCAGAACTATGCAGTACAAATGTTCAAATTAACATCAAGTTGATTGAGCCCCTGTTAAAAGAAATACTGCGTACTTGGATTCTTTTTATTTACCTTCTTATCTTTAAGGCTTTATGGTTCACACGGAGAGAGGTGACACACACACACTCCCATACACCTCTCTTACACGGGTTGTGGGGGTGATCCACCGACCTGACCCTCCCTGCCTGTGCCCTCTGCCCTCCATGCTTGGCTGGGCGTCTGAGATGGACCCACCTCTCCTAGTACCGGGTGCCGCATCTTCCCGAGGGAACATGTGTGGGGCATGCCAGGTCACATGCTCCCAGTCCCCAGATTTCAGCCAGGGTTCAAACCAGAATGTGGACTGTAGCAGCCTTTCAGCACTGTGTGGGAGGGAAGGGACAGGAGCTGCTTCCAGCCGTGGGGGGAGGGGAGAGGTGGTTTGATCTGGCCCATGTCTTTGCAGAGCTCATCTCTTTCCCTCCCCACCCACTGCAGCTACCCTGTGGCTGGAAACAGCTTGTCCATTCCTGCCCATACAGTGTGGAAAGGCAGCTAACACCTCCAGCCTGCAGCTGGCCACCGACATAACCCAGCCGCCTCCTGTCCCTTGGCTACAGCATGGGCAGGAAGGGGTTAAGCCCTAGCATTGTGCACCAGGGCCTAGGGAACCAGACTGCAGGGGCTTCAGCAAACTGGGCCAGACAGGTGGCTCAGCAGGGGAGGGTGCCTGGGGGACGGAGCAGCCCCACACTCCTGGCGGGGAGGAGGCACAGGTGAAGAAGCCCTAGGGTAGTGCCCTGCTACCGAAGCCCTAGGATAGTGGCGGCGGGGCTCCAGAGGGAATTTAAAAGGCAGGGGTGGTAACGGCGGCTGGAGCCCCAGGGCCCTTTAAATCCCCGATGGAGCCCACCTGCCGCTACCCCAGGTCTTGGGCAGCAGTCTCCTCAGTGATTTAAAGGGCCCGGGCCTCTGCTGTGGTAGCGTCAGCCAGAGCCCTGGGCCCTTTAAATCGCCCCCGAGCCCCGGGGCTCCCAGCCACCTCTGCAGCTGGTAGCTTGGGGGTGATTTAAAGGGCCCGGGGCTCCCAGCCGCCACTACCGCAGCTGGAGCCCCGGGTCCTTTAAATCAAGATGTAAAGGGCCCGGGGATTTAAGGCCCAGCCTCTTCCCAACTTTTTCTTTAAAGGGCCCCGGGGCTCCAGCCATCGCTACCACCCCAGCTCTTTAAATCCCCTCCGCAGCCCTGCTGCCACTACCCTAGGGCTTTGGCAGCAGGGCTCCGGCGGGGATTTAACGGGCCGGGGCGGTAGGGGCGGCTGGAGCTCCAGGGACCTTTAAATCCCTGCCGGAGCCCCGCCGCCGCTACCCCAGGACTTTAAATTGCCGTCTGGGAAAGCCGGTCCCGGTACGGTGCACCGGCTCTTGCCAATACACCGTACTTGGGCGTACAGGATTACTTTCACCTCTGGGACACTTGCAGGAAGGCTTAAATATGGGACTGTCCCCTTAAAAACAGGATATCTTGGTATTCATCTCTCTTTGAAATGTAC